CCCCCCTCGCCCCGCCTCGGAGCTCCCAATAAGCAGCCCCTCCCCAGCCCAGCACCTCCTCCAGATGCCAGCGCTGCGGTGGAGGAGGCCGCCCACGTCCCACAAAAGGAGAGAATAATCGAATCTCGGCGGCCGAGGACCAAATCGAATGTAGCTCTCTGAACGGAGCGAGCGAGAGGACCGAACCTCCGCGTCGGCTGTCGTGGCCAGGCCGCAGGTGCGCGGCTCGCGACGGGAAGCAATCTCAGGAGGCATTCCGAGCCTCTGCGGGGCGGCGCCAGGTGAGGAGCCACGTCAGACACGTGTTTTACCAATATGTGTGCGCGTGTGTGGGTCGCTCCACTTTCTTCCCGCAGTTTCCTTTATTTTCTTTTTGTTTCTGATGCTCACGTCACGTCAACTTCAGATATTGACGCCTCACACTTTTGGGGCCGTCCAGAGGGAGGTGGCTGCAGTCGGTATCAGGGAGAGACCTTGTGCGGCGGAGTGTGCGATCGCGCCGGATGTGGTGGCGACGGCCTGGAGTGCAGTGTACCGCCGCCGCCGCCCTTTCGCTGTGTCGCCAACCCTCGCGACCCCTGCTGGAGGCAGGAGCGGGAGAGAGCGGGGCGAGAGAGAAAGACAGGGAGAGGGAGAGAGAGAGAGAGAGAGAGAGAGAGGGGGGGGGAGGCGGGGGATGGGGTAGAGACGAGCACAGTCTGCCAAAATGCCAGCACAGACTGAATTATAACATCTTGGAACGAGAAGGCCATGTCAAGGCGGGAGGGAAGTACCGGGGGGAATAGCAGAGGAAACGGCAGGGGAAATGGGGCGGGGGAGGAGGGGCTTAAGGGATCTCTTAAGGTCCGTCTGCCCCTCCCAGTCCGGCCCCTCCAAGTTTTAGTATTTTGCCGCCAAAACATAATTTCCGTGTTTTGCTTTGGCGACTGCACTGCAAAAGCGACTATTCGGTACTCCCCGCTCCTGAAAGAGGAGATTGCAGAGAAAAGAGATAAAAACATGACAAAGAGGGATGAGAAAATATTATGTCCTTATTTCCGTCTCTCTCTCTGTTAGGGGACATAGTGCTGCCGTCGGGATGGACCACCAACGCCCTGCCCGCTCCCAGCTCCAGGCTAGCGGTAGTGTGCGTGGCGTGGCGTGGCGTGGCGGGCTGAGGCGAGAATGATACGGTTACTGTGCGGCAGACACTCGGGCGGGCGCTCCCGTCGTGGCGCGGCGGGGAGGGGCGGGCGCCGGGTGGTTAGGCCGCCGACGCTCTCCGCCGTTGGCCGGGTTGCCTACCCCACGGCGGCCCACCCCGGGCCGGTCAGAACCATATCCCCTTCGGCGGACGTGAGGCTGTTGCGGCGTGGGCACGACGCCCTCTCGCCTGTGATGACAATGTCCCGCGACGCACAGCCGGTTGAGGGTGAGAGTTCAGCTCTCGCACCAGCACCAGCACCAGCACCAGCACCAGCACCACGACACTGATTCCGGGATTAATGACGGCCAGGCCTTTGTTCTGCGCGGCCCGCTCTGCGCTGCGCGCGGCGGCGGCCGCTGTGAGTGGAAAGTGTAATTTAAGGTAGGGGTTTGACAAGTTGAACGAGGGCGTCAATTCTACCGCCGCGCCCGCCGCGCCCGCCGCAGGCCGCGGCCCTCCTCCCCGCCCCTTTGTGCCCTCTCATCCCCAGCCATAAATTGTCCCCTTTCGCCGTTGGAGCTGACAGCAATTGTGTTTTTGATCGGGTCGGGGAACCCAACCAACAGGGAGC